TTGTCCAAAGGAGCCTGTAAAGCATTACACCAGTCATCAGTAGAATGCTGATGCCATGCAGGTCTCCTGCAGACCTGTCAGAATATCTGCTTGCCATATGGGATGTACGAACAAGCAGTTATTCTGACAGGAAGATTCAATGAACTAACATGGGGCTCCACAGCACTGTGGTAGTTGACTTATCCTTTAACCCCCCTGGCGGTATTCCGAGTGTAGCTCGGGGTAAAGTTTCAGCACCACAAGCGGTAACCCCGAGCTACACTTGGGAATACCTTGCAGCGTTGCTCCGGGATCCCTCAATCAATTACCTTGTCCTGCTCTCCCGCGATGTCCCCCCTGCAGTGTCCCCAGCCATCTCCTGCGGCCAATGCCGGCATCCGTCTTCCGGGTTCCGTTCCCTGCGACGTCAGGACGTACGGGGGACGGAACTGGCGGGAATTTAAAACATTTTAAAAAGTGACATTCACTAATACACTATAATCATATAGTATAATATTCCTGTATCAAACCATTTCACATACATTTTGTCCCGAGTGCTTTGTCCTGTGCCCTGCCTGCATTCTTACTGTTCTTTCTGCCTGGAAACTGAGAAACGTCCATGGCGTCCAAAAAGCGTCCCTTTAGGTCAAAAGCGGTTTTAGACCAGCTAGAGAACAGCGATAGTAAATCAGAACCACTTGCAGAATTGAGTGATAATGATTCGCCGGGAAATTCATCATCAGACACTGAAAACGATTTTGCGACTAAGCTCAGTGATGTGCAAACTTGGAGCTATATTTCAAATTTCAGTGTTTTAGGTTTGATTATATTATTTAATTAAATATATTATTATATTATTATTTTTTATGATTTATTAAATTATAATTTATGTTTTTGTGTTTCAAATTTACCCATACCCGGAATGTTTACTAGACTCTTGTTCGGACTAATTTCAGTGAGTTATTCCTAAGAATTACAGGCCTACAATAAAAAAACAACATATTTCCATGCAAAAAAAAGTACCTTTTTGAGCACAGAAATACTGACATAATCATACCGCTAGGGAGGTTAAATCACTCAGGAACTCTATCAATGAGATATCAGTGTCAGGGTTCACAGCTCCTCTGCCTGCAGTCCCTCTTGGGTTCTTAATTTTGTAATTTAAAACTGAACTCAGCCTAGGAAACCTAAACAAAAAAAAACCCAAGTAGAGTTTTTCTTTACCAAAACAGTGCTGCACAATACTTCCGTACTATAAAGAGTGCTGCAAATTTATATAGTGCATAACATACGTGCAATCCTCAAAGTAAAGTGCGTGTGCCAATATCACATATGTAATATAATCATCTGGCATAATTAAACTCCCACATAACTCCTTATAAAGTGCATAGGAGATCTGTATAGTGCATTCCATATGTGCAATCCTAAAAATAAAGCGCATGTGCCAATATCACATATATACAGTATATAATAGAAACATCTAGCATAATAAAACTTCCACATAACTCCTTGTAAAGTGCACACAGTAACCACTGTGCCAAGCATCACATATACAGTGTGGTCATCTTGCCATATATGACTCCCACATAATAATTCAAGTCCTTATAAAATGTGCAAATTTCACTTTAAAAAGTCAGTATATTCTCATAGATATTCATGCAACTTCCTGCCGTATTGAAAATCACCCTTGTGTATGTGGGAGTTTAATTATGTCAGATGATTATATTACATACAGTTGTGTTCAAAATAATAGCAGTCAGACATCACTAACCTGATCAATCACTGTTTTTGGTAGAAATGATATTTCTACATGGCAAATAATTTACTAGCAGGTGTAGTAGAGTAATAGAAATCCAACAGACCCAACAGTCATGACATGCATGCTGCTGGTTCTGTGTAATTGAATCACTAAGTGAAAGGGGCATATTCAAAATTATAGCAGTGTGGAGTTCTATTAGTGAGGTCATTCATTCTTTGAAAAACAGGTGGCAATTATTGCCCTTATTTAAGGAAGGAAGGCAGCAAATGTTGTACATGCTGGTTACAGTGCATTTCTCTCTGAAATTCTGAGGAAAATGGGTCGTTCCAGACATTGTTCAGAAGAACAGCGTACCTTGATTAAAACGTTGATTGGACAGGGGAAAACATATAAAGAAGTGCAGAAAATGATAGGCTGCTCAGCTAAAATGATCGCAAATGCTTTAAAATGGCAACCAAAACCTGAAATACGTGGAACAAAGCAAAAAACTACCATTCGAATGGATAGAAGAATAACCAAAATGGCAAGGACTCAGCCAACAATCAGCTCCATGAAGATCAAAGAAGGTCTAAAGTTACCTGTGAGTACTGTTACAATTAGAAGACCCCTATGTGAAGCCAAGCTATCTGCAAGAAGCCCCCGCAAAGTCCCACTGTTGAAAAAAAGACATGTGCTGAAGAGGTTACAATTTGCCAAAGAGCACATTGACTGGCCTAAAGAGAAATGGCGCAACATTTTGTGGACTGATGAAAGTAAGATTGTTCTTTTTGGGTCTAGTGGCCGGAGACAGTTTGTCAGACGACCCCCAAACACTGAATTCAAGCCACAGTACACTGTGAAGACAGTGAAGCATGGTTGGGCAAGCATCATGATATGGGGATGTTTCTCATATTACGGTGTTGGGCCTATTTATCGCATACCAGGGATCATGGATCAGTTTGAATACATCAGAATACTTGAAGAGGTCATGCTGCCTTATGCTGAAGAGGAAATGCCCTTGAAATGGGTGTTCCAACAAGACAAGGACCCCAAACACACCAGTAAATGTGCAACATCTTGGTTCCAGACCAACAAAATTGACGTTACGGAGTGGCCAGCCCAATCCCCGGATCTTAATCCAATACAAAACTTGTGGGGTGACATCAAAAATGCAGTTTCTAAGGCAAAACCAAGAAATAGAGAAGAACTGTGGAATGTAGTCCAATCATCCTGGGCTGGAATACCTGTTCACAGGTGCCAGAAGTTGGTTGACTCCATGCAACACAGATGTACAGCAGTTCTCAGAAACAGTGCTTATACAACTAAATATTCATTAAGTGATTCAAAGGAAAGCAAAATCTTCAAACATTTTTCAGTTTATATAGTGAATGTTTGAGGTTGTAAAGTAGAATACAAACACTGCTTTTTTTTTGAACCGTCTAATATTCACTTTTCTTCAATTTTGTTAGAGGAACAACACAAATTTGATATATTTTTCTTCATGTTTTGATTTGGAATAGAATGTGTAGTGTTCCCAATGCATTTGTGTGTATGGAAATAAAAGCTATTAGAAGGATTTTTAGCTGTATTCACTTTTTTCAACACACTGCTATTATTTTTTGAACACACCTGTATGTGATATTGGCACACACACTTTACTGGATTGCACGCATGTTATGCACTATTTAAATTTGCAGCAGTTTTTATAGTACAGAAGTATTACGTTTTGGTAAAGTTTATCTATATGTGGTAACGCGTTTAGGCTAGGTTCACACCTATGCAGGTTGCGTTTGAGGCATTTTTGCATTGCGTTCTTGCCGCATTCTTAATGCATTTTGCATTTTTTTCCCCTTTTTAAAAATGTTTCTTGTTGCTAGGCACATTTTAAATGCAAAACGCATCAAAAACGTGGCAAAAACATGCAGCAAAAATGCAATACATGCTTTTTTGCATCATTCCCATTGCAGACTATAGAACCAAAAACGCAACGTGTTGCCTTAAAATACGTCCCTGACCCTTTCCAAAAAATGCACCGCGTGAAAACGCAGAGATGTGAACCTTTCCCATAGGAAATCATGTTAAATGGACTGTACTGCGTTTCTGCAAAACGCGGCAGATTAACGCTTAGCTGTGAACCTGGGGTAATTCAGTTTAGACTGTAGCGCTCCTCCATTGCAGGGGATGAAGGGTTAACTACTGTTCAAAGAGTTCTGGTGAGATTCCAGAAGCCAGCTGGTGATTCAGATAATCAGCTCAGATAGAAAACTGAAAATGAATTGTTTGCAGAAATTTTACAATGTTAAACATTTGTGAGACTGATTACAATACACCTGATGCTCATGCTTGCACATGTACTCCTGCAGGGTGTATATTTGTTTGGGCAGTTTAATATCTTCACACTTAAAACACATTTACATTTCCTGTTATGACACTATTATATGATTAAAATGATGTGTCCTCACTTTCTATATTTTGCTGTGGAATATATTTGATATAAAAACTCCTCATTTCTAATTCTGCACACCACCTTCTACTTGTTCTAAAACAACAGAGACATCTAGTGGCCAGTTATACAAATACAGTGTAAAGAATAATTTTTATCTTTTAATAAACACTTAAGGTCTCATTCAATTTTTCGCAATGTGGTAATGCATCTTAACCATTTCAACTCTGGACACTTTTACCCCCTTCCTGTCCAGGCCAATTTTCAGCTTTCAGCACTATCACACTTTGAATGACAATTGCGCGGTCATGCAACACTGTACCCATATGAATTTTTTTTAGCATTTTTTTGAGACAGATAAAGCTTTATTTTGGTGGTATTTATTCACCACTGGGATTTTTATTTTTTTTTTGCTATGTAAATGAAAATGTCCAAAAATTTTGAAAAAAAGTGTTTTTCTTATAAAATTTTGCAAATAAATAGTATTTCATCAAAAATCTTGGCCAAAATTTATTCCGTTATCTGTCTAGTAAAAAAAAAAAATAACCCAAATTAGTTTTCAACCAAAAATTATAATTTTTAAACATTTTTTTTAACTTTTTTTTATTTTTTTTTTATAATATTATTTATGTTTTTTTTTTTACATACTGTCACCCCACTGATTGTTTTTACACCCATAAAGGCTGTAAAAGCAATAATTTCTCCTTATCTCTGGCTGCATTCTTGCAGCCATTGAGAACTATTGTGTGAGCTGTGATTGGTCACAGCCTGTCACATGGTACAAGGCTGTTGTGAATAGCCTTGTACCATGTGACCTCTGTGATCATTCACAGATTTCACACGTAGTAAGCAATGATGTCACAAGTGACATCTTGCTTACTGCTCTGCATGTGATCACTGATTGGCCAACGAGTGATCACATGATCGGGAGCTCGCAGAGAGGTCCCTTCCAACGATCGGTGTTCCACTGTGTCCGGAGGACACAGCGGGCACCGGATCGCGGTGCTGCGCCCTCCCAGGGAGCGCGCACAGCTAGAAAATGCGGGTGCCGTTTATGAACGGCAACCCGCCCCTGGAGTGCCACCGTCCTGCTGTTTATAAACAGCAGGCGGACAGCAAGTGGTTAATTTACATTCTAGGGCAGGTAGCATTAATTTATAATGGCACCACACCCAAACTTGCAAATCCAGTAGTGGGCAACACACCTGCACTGCAGCACATGCTCTTCATTGGTGTGCATTGAGTCATATCTGTTTGCTATTATTATTATTATACAGGATTTATATAGCGCCAACAGTTTGCTCAGTGCTTTACAATATGACGGTTAGGAGGGCCCTGATCCTTGGAGCTCACAATCTACGGTGCAAGATGAAAAGGCGGCCTCAACCCAGCATGCCTTAGCTGATGAGAATGCCTTGTATCAACATACTGTATGTGTGTTAACATAATGCATGGTGTAAATGGGCCCCAAGTACAATTAACCCACCTAAGATCGGCTTCTAATTACCAATTTTTAGACATAAAACCCATTTCTGTGGCCTGCATTTACTTTATTACTAAACTTTCTCTGAATTAATAGTGAAACCGTCACAATCAACATTCCACTGGGACCTTACTGGCCACCGCAGTGGTCTCATTGGTCAGTGGAATAGCTTTTGGCAAAGGCTAAGCCATGATAAAAGGGAAATTTTTTCAAGTGAGTACCCTTTTTTAGTTTTTAGTGTCTAACTTAAGTTCCTCTTTTTTTATACATTATTCTTTTTTTTTAATTGAAAGTAATTTAACTGTACTGCAGGGAAGCACAGCTAGTAATCATTATACATGTAGGTAAAGTGTTGGAATACAATACCAAATAAAGTGTAAAAAAAGCAAAAAGGGAAAAAAAAAAAGAATAAAAACAGCGAAATTAGCTTGTTACAGAAATACTTGATACAATTATCACCAAATAATCATAAAAATTATTTGAAAAGACCTTCTTTTTTCATAAAGGTTACTTTTGATTGCTAATTCTGGATTTATTAAATTACATGAATGATTTGTATTGGGGTCATTATAGCTTTAATTATAGGGAAGAATTAAACATTTGTGTACATTTTTTATTTGCTCTCTCTTCCCCTGGGGCTATTTCCCTTTACTTCCTGTCCTGGAGATGCAACAGGAAGTCAGGAAGTGAGACAAATTCTCTTTAAAATGGTAATGAACTGCAGCTTGAAAAAAAAAAATTCCCTGCAAGGTAATGTCATAATGTGCTAGTATGCATTATATACTAGCACATTATGTAGGTCTTACCTTATCCATTTATTTATTTCAGGTACTTATATAGCACCGTCAATTTATGCAGCGCTTTTTGTGAATATTGTACATTCACATCAGTCCCTAACCCTTAAGGGGCGTACAATCTAATGTCCCTAACTCACATTCATACATACACATACTAGGGCCAATTTATACAGGATCCAATGAACCTACCAGCATGTCTTTGGAGTGTGGGAGGAAACCTGAGTGCCCAGTGGAAACCCATGCTTGCACAGGGAGAACATGCAAATTTCAGGCAGGTGGTGCTGTGGCTGGGATTCGAACCAATGACCCTAGTACTGCCAGGCGGAAGCTTAAAGCGAAGGCCTCCAGCGGCATGCTGTCCCCGCTGCAAAGGCTTCCATCTTCATCCGTCATGTGTGTGGAAGTCTTGGGCCATGTCCAGGGGCGGACTGACAACTCATGGGGCCCCCGGGCAATAGGGGATCATGGGGCCCCTGTGTCCTTGCCCAAACTCAAAAAAGCCTATGAAAAAGGTACCAGGGGCATCTCATGGGGCCCCCTACTAATCCCGGGCCCTTGGGCAGTGCCCGAATTTCAAATGGTCAGTCCGCCCCTGGCCATGTCACAGTGCTTTGAAGGAACATATGGCATACGCCGTTTCTTCGGAGCTCATGCACCAGCTGTCAAAAAGAGCGAATATCTCCTAAACAGTGCACATTTGGGAGATATTAATTTACATACAGGTAAACTTTATCACAAGCTTTCCTGTAGGTAAAAGATACGAAAGTGGGTTTACTTCCACTTTAAATTGAGGAGACTAAGCCTGAATGGTTGGTGTGCATGGAACTCCCATATGGAAGAAAAATATATTTGAAATATATTTTAAAAATATTCTTCCCAAATATATTGACATATATTTGAAATAGTACAATTTTGGCCATATTCAATATATTTCAAAATATATTTCAATAAATATATACTGTATATATATATATATATATATATATATATATATATACTGTATGTTGAAATGCATATTTATTACAAAATATATGAAAAATATTTTGAAAAGTACATTTCAAATTTACTGTATATCTTCAAAAATACAAATCTACATTTTTGGAAGGCATTTACAAATATATGTAAAAATATATGTTAAAATTACTTTTTTAAATGTTAAAAAAAAAACCTGAAGAATATTATTTTAAAATATATATTTTTAAAAATATATTTTTTTATAATATATTCTTCAGATTTTATTTTTTTAATTTTAAAATACACAACTTCAATACTCTGTCCACCCATAGAGAACAGGATAGCATAAAAAACTTAACAGCATTTTTTTTTTTCACAAAAACATATGTCAGTCTCATAAAGGATTTTCATTCATTTTCCAGAAAACGTTGGTTCCTATGAATGTATTGGTAAAAGTCAGCTTCTCTGCATACTGTGCTGTAGGCAGTGATTGTGAAATGCTCATATTTTATCATTTATCCTTCACCCTTCAGGCTTACAACCTGAGCTGAAAAAACAGACAATTATGTAAAACATAAACAGCAGAATGATAATCGTCGTCCTCCCATCACCAGACAGTCGTATATTTTGTTATCTGTTACTGTAGTGTGACTGGACCCTCTGCTGACAGCTAAACACCTGCATGCTAATCAATGCACCATGACATTCCAGGTAATCCAATCTTTCCAAATTATTATTGTTATTCTACAAGTTAAAGGATATCCAGCCACAGCACCTGTCAATTTACTATGGTGTGCTGCAGATATTATATTACATTGTCTGTGCTATTTTACTGGAAGCCAGTACAGGGTACAAACCTCACAGAGTAATGTTTTATAAAGAGAATGTTTAATCACTTTCAACCCTTCCTGCCCAGGCCAATTTTCAGCTTTCAGTGCTGTCCCACTTTGAGCCTGGGTTCACACTGATGCGGTTCGGAATTGGCAGCGTCTTCTGTGCGAATTCTGTACCACATCAGAATCACCCCCCGTTCATGTGAACCGCTGCGGGTGTGTATGTTAAGTTAACAACACCCCGAAACTGGTCCGCAGAACGTGGTGCGAAGTGCAGAATCGGATCGCATAGGTATTCACAAAAAAGGGTCCTGCACTTTTTGGCACAGATGCGGTGCGATTTCAGCCATACATAAAGTGTGGCTCTAAATTGCACCGCACAGAATTCGCATGTGATTTGCACAGGAATGCGGTGCACCCCCTGTGCGAATCACATGCGATGTACCACACCGCATTAGTGTGAACCTAGCCTGACAATTGTGCGGTCATGCAAAACTGTACTCAAACCAAATGTTTGTCATTTTTTGAGACAGATAACCACTGGGGTTTTTATTTTTTGCTAAACAAACTAAAACAGACAACATTTTGAAAAAACAAAAATGTTTTTCATAGTTTCTGTTATACAATTTTGTAAATAAGTAATTTTTCTCATTCACTGATGTGTGCTGATGAGGCTGCACTGATGGGCACTGATAGTCGGCACTAATAGGCGGCACTGATGGGTACTGACAGGCATCATTAATGGGCACTGAAAGGCAGCACTGAAAGGCAATGTAATGTGGCACTGATAAGCGGCACTGATAGATGTCACTGACTGGCACTGATAGGTGGCACTGATGGACATTGACAGGCATCACTGATGGGCACTAAATGGCAGTACTGATGGGTACTGATAGGCAGCACTGATAGAGAACACTGATAGATGGCACTGATAGGAAGTACTGATGGGTACTGACATATATCGATGGGCACTGAAAGGCAGCACTGATGGGCACTGAAATATGGCACTGATTGGCACTGATAGGCGGCACTGACTGGCACTTTTTGGCATTGACAGGCATCACTGATGGGCACTAATATGTGGCACTGATAGGCAGCACTGACTGGCACTGATAGGCAGCAATGATAGGCACTGATAGATGGCGCTGATGGGTTCTGATAGACTGCACTGATGAGGAGGCACTGATAGGTGGCACCGATGGGCATTGACAGGCATCACTAATGGGTACTGAAAAGCAGCTCTGATGGCTACTGATTTGTGGCAATGATGGGCACTGATAGGCAGCACTGAGGGGCACTGATAGGCAGCAGTTTTGGGCACTGATTGGCACTGATAGGTAGCACTGATGGGTTCTGATAGACTGCACTAATGAGGAGGCACTGATAGTCGGCACTGATGTGCATTGACAGGCATCACTAATGGGCACTGAAAGGCAGATCTAATGGGCAATGATATGTAGCATTGATGGGCACTGATATGTGGCATTAATGTGCACTGATTTGTGGAAATGATGGGCACTGAAAGACAGCACTGATGGGGCTGCACTGATAATAAGGGCATTCATGATAAGTGGCCTGAATATCAGTGCAGATGTCCTCTCTGAGGAATGCCACTTACCGGCTCTCCTCTTCACGCACTGTCAGCATGAGGAGAGGACTGTCGATAACCGGCATTTCTTGTTTACATGTGATCAGCTGTGATTGGACACAGCTGTTGACATGGTAAAGCCTACATCATCAGTGCTTTACCGATTGGCGGGCTGCGTCCACGCTCCCGCCCTTCCGTCATTTCCCTATACGACGGGCGGGAGGTGGTTAAAGAATTCTCTAGGTCACAGGTTGCAGCAGCTTTGCTGGAATCAAAAGCAGAAGCACTCTCCCACATCTTGCTGGCTGTCTGTGTCTTTTCTTCGTATGCAGCAGGC